TGGGTAGGCAACATCTTGCCTGCAGTGCGCGCGTGTAGTGTGGGGTGGCCTACCCCGAGTCTCACAGGCGCCGAGCTCCCGTAATTTGCGGAATGAATCTGACAGAAAACGGGCGGTCTTGCGCGTACTTTCCATACGGATTGCCAATGTCGGTGGCAGACCAAGGGCCTCCAGCGAGCGATCAACACGTTGAGTCGCAGGGGGTCGCAACCACAGCTTGTCGTGACCATACTATGGCCACGTGAGACTTAGCGTGTTAAGCAGCCCGCCCACAGGCGTGCATGCGGTGCAGTTCAAAGTGGGCGGGGTCATATGGCCACATTTTCTTTTCTTTCGCCCCAGACGCTGGAACCTCAAAGGGGTGGAGCTGGCGTGGGTGGCTCCAACCACCCGCGGCGGGCAGAAGGAGGACGGCGCCAACTACGTGCAGCTCGTGGCGGTGAGTGTGTGCCCGCGCTGTGCCCGCATCTCAGCCTCTGGTGCGCCGCCCTGACCGCTACCGCCTTGCTGTCGCAGGACGTGTCCCGCGCGCTGACGCCCCTGGGGGTGTACGTCGGCGTGGCCCTGCCCGTCATCAACGGATACGACTTCTTCGAGGCCTTCCGCATCGCGGCGCTGTCCGAGCACGTCGACTGGTTCCTGGTCCAGGGCTACGACCTTCATGGCCACTGGGACCCCTTCTCGGACGTCAACAGCCCGCTGTTCTCTGCAGTGCCGAACGACAACCAGACCATAGTAAGGCGCAAACTCTGACGAATAATGTGCTCAATTAACGTAACAAATCAAACAGTTGAACCGCTCCTTGTGCGTGCACTTTGAAGTGTTCAACTCGGTAGCTGTTCACTTTTAAGTGCTCAACTCCCCTGTTGGTTTTCAACAGAGTTGTTGGACACACTTTTAAGAGCACAAGTACGTGTTCAACACTTTGAAGGTGGTTGAACACTGCTGCTTACCTTGGTCTACAGTCGTGGCGGCTCGGCCAGTTCCTGAACCTGGCGCCGCGGCCGGAGCTGTTCGTGCTCAGCATGCCCGCGTTCGGCCGCACTTGGACTCTGGCGGACTCCCCGGTGCCGGGGGCGCTCGGCGCGCGCTCCGAGCTGGGGGTCATGTTCGGCGACGGCATGATGGCATACAACGAGGTGGGTGAAGCTGGCGGAAGGATCTTTGGACTGCTTGTCCGTCGGGCCCTCGAGCGTGGTCGCAGTTAAAACTGCCTTACTGCCCCACGGGGTCGCCTGATGGG